TGACTGGAACATTAGTTACCCATATGTCCAAACACGATGGTTCCAAAATAAACCGCAGCTACACCTCTAACATTCGAAGATGCCTCCGGAAAACAAGGTGGAGGGAACCAGTTCTGTGTTCATTGCACTATTGAAGATTGGTCAAGCACAGCTCTAACTCCGATCAACTTCCTAGCGGTATAATCTTGTGAGCTATCGGCCTTTTCGATCCTAGAACTCAATAACAAAACTAGTCAATAACAAAAAATCGATAATTTCTTATATGTCTGAATTCTTCACGAGCAGAGCTCTCAGCTAATCTTACTTTCAACTTCATTTGAGACTTTAACAAAAGGCATGGTGAAGCGACATATTAATCTGTCGCAAACCGTCGGTTGACCACAAATTAGTAGCAGTGTTGTAGGAACCGTCAGTCGTCCGACCTCTTGGTCCCGACACTGTAAAAACCCGTGAGGATTTTTGGGCTCAGAGTACCTTCAGACAGCTCGAATCGAACACAGGCCATCTTCATCGCTTTTGCTTCGCAGCTCTTAGAATGTGCTTTCGTAATTTGAAAAGATAGCTTAGGGAATCACAACCACAAATATAATTCGACTTACACGCTCCAAAGGAACCGTTTCCCTCGAAACTTCAGCTGTGAATAAGAAGTTCTCATTAATCTCAAAGGCTAAGTTAACTTACGACCGTTAGTCCGTTGCCTCTGAGGATTTTTTTGGAAAAGTGAAGCGAAATTCGAGGAATCAACCGTTCCATGCAATATATTGCTCCGAACAACTTTCAGTGATAATGTTCAGGAAAGACTTTGCCTCATCCACCAATCGCAATCAACCAAGAGGTATGGTCAAGCGCGCGAGTCTTTGGAACAATCTTGCATTGGGACGACTAAGAAGAATGCACCTGAGACGGTGGCCTTCCCCTCAGAATTTCTCCAACCTAACATATTGTTTGGAAGAAGTAACCCAGAATCTTTCAAATGTGCGAGCGTTCTGCTAAAGGCTGCTTAATATCATATCAACATATCAATATATTCAATACCATTTTTTCATGGAACCCGATGGAACAATAGCCAGTTGTGCAAAATATTATGTGCAGAGCCGAGCTCGCTGAGAGGGTCTTGCTCAGGTTGAAAAACTCTCTTTGTGTAGTATAAATAGCCTCGATATACAGAACCCTATCACAAATCCAGCAATATCCAAAATGTACATCTACACAGTCTGCGCTCTTGTGCTACTTAACGCCTTCACAAGTGAAGCGGAAGTAAGTTAGCAAAATTACCTCGAGATGTTTGGTCATAGTAAGGGAAACTTTTTTTCCCAAAATTAGGAATGTTTAGTTCATGCACAACACAGCCAATCCACTTCCGTAGCCGTTTTGTGACAAGCAATGTGTAATATCTAAATGGATTTAGTCCCCGTGTCATTTTATCTTTTAAGCCGTGCGTGGATAAAACGGCGGGGACTAAAGCAGGCATAGGGTTCTGTGAATACATGCGAACACCTCAAACAGCCGACAATGAGCCCTTGTGCAAGACCCCAAACTATCGCGAGATTGCGAAGAAATACTGTGCTAAGTCGTGTGGTCTTTATGATGATAATGTAGAAAGGGAATAAACGTCGTTTCGAAATCTGCATTTGCTCCCCAGATCATATTGATTATTAAGCCTTAATACTAGGAGTCAGCTATTATATTTGGTCAAAATGGGGTTTCTGGATTATAATCTGCTGAGCAATGTCGTATTGCCAATGAGACATGAACATATAAAAACCGTTGGATAAAGGGCATTGACTAGATGCATTTGCAATATTCCAATACACTTGATAAAACTGTGAGGCCTCAATCACGAGTCATTTGCAAAACCCCTCTGCTCTTTTCCAACAGCGGCTTTTTCTCCAATGAGCAAAGTCATTCTTTGAAAACCAGCAGCTTTCAGCAGATCTTTGCAGATTTGAAAGGTTTAGGTTACTCCCTCCAAACAGTATGTGAGTTTGGAGAGTTTCTGAGGGAAAGGCCATTATCTCAGGTGCATCCTTCTCGAGTCGTCCCAATGCAGGATGATCTGTTCCGAAGACTCGAGCGCTTGACCATACCTCTTGGTTGATTGCGATGGGTGGATGAAGCAAAGGCTTTCTTGAACATTATTACTGAGACCTGCCCTGAGCAATATATAGCATGGACATGATTGACTCCTCGAAGTTCGCTTCACTTTTCTGTAAAAAAATCCTTAGAGATCAAAATTGTTTCCAATTATGAAAACAAAAGTGCACAGGCTCTGATCGCCTTTTTCAGCTGGTTTCGTAATCGTCTTTTCCGGGTCTAAAAGTCGTTTCGAGATCGTTAACGACGGACTGACTCGTCGTGAGTTAACTTAGCCTCCAAGACTGATAAGAACTTCTTATTCACAGCTGAGGTTTCGACAGAACCGCCTTCTTCGGAGCGTGTGAGTCGATTTATATCCGTGATTGTGATTCCTTAGGTTACCTTCTCAAATTACTAAAAGAACATTCTAAGAGCTGCGAAGCAGAAGCGATGAAGCTGACCTGTATTCAATTGGAGCTGTTCGTGGGCACCTTGAGCCCAAAGTTCCTCACGGTGTTTTTGAGTGTCGGGATCAAGAGTTCGACCGACTGACTGCTCATACATGATTGTTTCAAAGGTTAGCTCGAATCCAATAAACAAAGGAGAGAAAGAGCTGGTAATTGGATAAAATCTGTTAGCATAATTTTTGAGCATCACCAGCAACAGAACGAATAAGGGCATCAACGAAACTCACATTTAAGTGTTGCCATGAAGACGGAATAGTTAAGAATACAAAACGTAGCCAAATAATAGATAGTCATAATACTTGCGATAATATTGAAATCACCTGAATAAATCAAATCCCAGAAATTCATAATAAGTAAGGATTAGGTAATAAAACAAATACGGTTTTTCGAAATGAAAACATTAAAAAGGTTTTTCGAGACGTACCTATCATTGTTAAGGCGATACCCACAGCTGTGATTACTATGAAAGCGATTCGTGGACTATTCTCTTCACCGTAACCTCGTCCCAGCTTATCCCAGCCGGGCACAAGACCATTGCTTTTACCAACAGCCTACAAATTAACGCATTCATATGTCTTAATTTCTCGATAGTTACTTCTACTACTACTTCAAATCAGCATGTGTTTTGTTAATAGGGAACAGAAACAATATGGAACCAAAACGGAAAATCTGTTACAGAACAGCTCTAATAAGTGGTTTTTCTCACCCGTTTTGTGCAGTGATGAGTGAGATGAAGGAACTGAAATCAGAACTAACCACTGAGTTTGAAAAGAGGGAGGTTTGGAGACCATTCACTACTGCTACTACAGTTAGGGTCCGCTTTTTTGTTCCATAAGTTTGTTCCCAAAGTTCGTAGGGCATCGATTGAATTGTGTACTCTAGATCTCAAGTAAATCCCGTATTCAGACGGTTCATTGGAAGTATTGACGTGGCCTGGCGCAAGCCGTCGATGCTCTATTGTCCACACTGATCCAACGGGAAGAAATTAGTTTTCTTCGTATGTGCCCAAATCTAGTGAAGAGCGAGGTACTGTAGAAAGTGCGAGTTCAAAGTATTTCACCTCCACCCAGATTGCTGACTCCCAAAACCCAAGCACGAATTGAAATTCTATTGAATCGCTGAGGGCAAGTGACTCAAAATCGCAACGTAACCCGTTTATGAAGTCCTAGCAAAAAGATGGAAGAGGGCTAATCGAGTATAATTACCTTTTCTTCAGACTCGTGAACAATAAAAGCGAGGGGAACTAAAACATGTATTGTTCATCTCTTACCTTTTTTGTTTTTTTTTTCTCTGTGTTTTTCTTTCTCTCTATTTGGAAACAATGCTTCTATCTTCTCTGAAGTTCCTATTTTCTCTGAGGCAAAGAGTTTATTAATAGTGGTGATTTTTTTTCTTTTCTTGCCTTCACTATAACTTACTCCTCTCTGGTGTTACGAATACTTCAGCTGTAGCACTTTTTTTGAGCGTAATAAATGAAATGAAACTAAGGAAGAGGAAGAGGGTCACCGCATGGGTGGATTTTCGCGGGAAGAGGAAGACCGTCGCATCGTCATATTAAAAAAGGATGAAGTTTTCAGGCAACAGTCAATCCCGTCTGAGGGATACGCTACCGTATTCGACTTCCATTCAGAATCGTGCCAACGTATTGAACGCGTACTTGATCTATACACTGACTTGAGATGATCGGCCGATGTACAAGTCAGTGCTTTTAACCCCCAGCTCCAGACAAGCCTGGCACCAATTGGAGGTATGGGGACTTGGATGTCTTAGGCGAACATTGATCCGGGATTCGAACCCGTGACCATGTGTTGTTGCCGTCACACCACCTCCGCCCGTTCTCCTTACTTCTTCACCTTTCAATTATCATCAGTTACGATAAGAAAAAGCCTCAAACGATTTACGAAGCAGGGACTTCAAATGGCACTGGAATAAGTACTACTTAAAATACTAGAAATGCCGCTCACCTGAACCGTCTGCGATGCACTGATAAATGCCGTGTAAGCGCAGTAGAAACACGATAGCAGCACTACGACGGTAACTGGTAGGGACCTCAACAAGGCCTGAACAGACCAAAGCCTTTCTTATTTTCGATAATTCATTGTATTCCTTATAGCCAAATATTTCCACTGTATTTTAGTGTAACACAAAGACCAGTTATCTTTTATCACTTGACAAGGTGCCACTTACGTTAATCGGTTGTCTCAAAAATTCGTGCTCATTGAATTTGATCAGTGACGTTTTCTGATAGTAGCGAATCGGTATTGCTTTCTATCAATCACACTCAACTGCTCCGAGTATTTGGTTAACAGTATTCCTAATGAGTTTACCAGTCCTCACGAATGGAGTGCCTACAACGTCCCTCCCACTCCCGCCGAACGGACTGATTAGGCATCGGTACCACAAGAGATGAGATGAAGTACATTCATCGGCAAAACAGGCGGAAACATCGGCAATTATATCCAACAGAAGGGGCTGAAGTGGCTGGGAGACCAGGTCTGTCTAATTAGAAGATCATGTTGTTTATTTGGTGAGCCGTTCCCTGAGTACATCACAAGGAGTTCCTTCCCTACAATGCCACGATTACGAGTGAGGTCTACTTTAGTCAGCTATGAACTTTGGGGAAAGCTTCAGCTCGCCTTTTCAAAACTCATACCTGCTCCACAACAATGCTAGACCACATGTTTCTTAGACGACACAGCTCGAGATCCTGATTTTGGCTAAGAAGTTCTATTCTTATGTAGCCCCGATTTGGCTCTTTCCACTCAAGAATGACCTCACTCTTTTTCGGCTCGATACCGCTGGACTTCTATAGGGGGGCCATCCAAAACCTGTGTGGTCGTTGGCAACAAGTTCCTAATAGTGATGGTGCATATGGTGTACATTGCTGTTGGATTTCTTTTTGAAATAAAAGTTTGCAGATGGCACGAACTTTCGAGAGAACCACATCGAGCGATGCTTACTTCAATCGGAAATGTTGGTTCGTCCGGAAAGTTTCCTCCGTTTTTGTACACCCTGGGTTTATCAATTGTCGTACCAAAGATCAAAGACCTAATCTTATAAAGTCACATATTTTCTGAAAAGGTAAGCATTTTCCTATATCGCCTGTTCGATTTTGTTAACGTTCCTCGAAGTAAATCTGTATAGGACTCGTGTGAAAAATGACGATCATCGCGGTGCATTTTCGCCACCTGGTGTTTTTCTTCTACCACAGGGGTCAGAAAGCGGTTCAAGCAGCGAGAAAGATTTGTGACGTTCGTGTAGACAATGCTCTCGGGTAACGTACGCTGGAAGGGTATTTTGTGTAATCTAAACAGGGTGAATTCACCCTTGATGATCGGCAACACTGAGGGAGGCATCATCACTTGAACACGACTGAATCAAAACGTTGATCGAAAGGAATCGACTTATCCTACTAGTGAACTAGTGGTGAGACTTAGTGTTTTGAAATCAACCATCCAAGACCATTTGCTGTAACTGAGTTTTGGAAAGCGCCTTGATGTTTGGGAATCTCACAAACTGAACGAGTGCAATCTGATGGACCGCGCCTCCGTGTGTGTGACTCGTTGCTCAAACGAAACAAAAATGTGCTGTGTCTGAAAGGCATGAAGACGGGGGACGGAAAGTGTCTGCGCAGAGCAACGTGGAGCGGAAACAAATCTGAGGAGCATTCCCTGTGAGCCATTACAACTCCAGAAGTCAAGAGCCAGGTGCGGAAGATTATGCTGTTGCTAGTGGGACTGAAATGGAATCTTTTCTTATAAGCTGTTGCCGCATAATCAGACGGTAACCCGGAAAAGTACTATACCCAGCCAGACAACTTGAAGGCACCGATAGACGAAGCGCCCAGAACTTGCCAATAGTAATGGCATTGTCGTCTAACAAGACAACTTCAGACCACACGTATTTTTGGCTATTTATCAAAACCTTCTGGGGCTTGGGTGAGATGCCTTTCCACACCCACATAGTCCTTTACATAGCGCCATCGGACTACATTTTGTTTAGGTTTCTCCAGAACTGTTCGAATGGAAATTCGTTCAAACTGCTGGAGGATTGCAAAAAGCACCTGGAAGGATTTTTCGATTTCACGTCTAGAACTGCTAAGATAGTGGGATAATGAAGTTCACAGGAAAATCGCAAAGCGTTACCGAACAGTACGGAGGATATATTGTTTCACGAGTGGATTTTAACTTCTCGGACAACTCAATAATTTGATGGGCTTTTCAACAAAGAATTGTACTACAGGTACACTACCCGTATCAGAATCGGGGCTCCCCAAAATCAGAAGAAGATGGAGTTTCGCAAAGAATTGGTTTCATTGGGCTAATCGGGGCATGGTAGTAATAGTTCGTTAGTGAGCGTCACCTGGGGTGACAGCGGATTCTGTCCGCTCAAACATTGGTGAACTTCGACCTTCGAATGAGGAAATGAATAGAGAAATCTGTCAGAAATCTCGCGAGACATAAGCGTACCACAGTATGTAACATGTGTAATGAAAATGACACTCGCTGAGCCATAAAAACTTATTACTCGAGATCAAAGGAGAAATAAGATGACGAACATACCATAGCATGAAGTTTTTGACCGGGCTCAATGATATGGCTGAGTACCAAATGGCTCACTGCAAAAAAGTGTGCTTCTAGAATTGCTGTCAGTATGTATAGCAATGAGGATAGTACCAGCGCTAATGAAGTGCCGTGGAAAATATTATCCTGAAATTCAATTTTTAGAGGCAGAAATTGCATAGGAAATCGAGAACAACCGGGAGGTCTCGTTCTGCTCTCAACTTCTCATTTTGGACCTTCATATTGTTGGTATGGTTCATGAATTCATACCACTAACTTAACCTCGTCCGCAAAATTGCGGTCTCAAAAAGAATTTTCTCATATTTCAATTATATGTGAAGTCCCTCATCTTAGTAGTAGCAATAATGCCATGAAAATTTTCACACTAAAAAGCCCTTAGCTCGTTTTCCTGGTAGGCCTCTATAAGGCAAAAAAAAAATAAAATAAAAAATAATAAAATGAAAATACGATAAAATGAATCCTAAAGTTTCCCTTAGGACGAATCTTCGTCCTCTATGTATGCCACTTGGTTCACTGTCGGATCGAACGGCCTAGATAGGCTGCAACAAGGGCCTTCAAACCTTTCTTCACTGTATGCTTCACAGTGGATTTTAAAAGCCTTTTAGAATCACAACACAAAGCTCCCACATTCTTGGCTGTATGCAGCCAAAAATATAGGGGAACGATGGCATTTTCGTACTACTGTAGGCAGATCTTCACGTAAATGCAGGAGCCGTTATCTCGTCCAAATATCTCTCCCGTGCCACTTCCGTCGTCATAAAGTCGTACAATCCGCTAATTTCACGACTGTCTAAGAGCCTTGTATTTCTCAAACTCAGAGGTTTTTCTCGTTTTCTTCGCCATCGATGCACTATTGCACCTTTTCCGAGCTTTCGTTATTGAACTCAAAGTAGTTACCTCAAATTTACCGATTACATCGGCTATACAATTGGGCTTTACACTCATTTGGACAAATTATTGAATGTCACAGATAGTAAATAAACCGAAAAGTTCTTTAACAACTCCATTATAAGTTTTCCTATTATCTGTCAACAAAACTGATGAAATGAACCTTTTTTCGTACGAAGCTGCCTGGAATTGTCAAGCCAGCAAATATACAAGTAACAGCGGGGAAGTAGACAACGAATCCCATCGCTTTCTCATCGTAAGGATTGTAGTCGGAGATTTTGAACGCTGAATAAAAAGCTGTATTATTCTGAAATATATTGGTGTTATACAGAGATTAAACGCTCCAAAATGAAATAGATTCGGCAAAGGTGGAAAGCACACAAGAGTGAATGCTTTGTCTGGAAGAACTGAGCACATCAAAAGAGCTTATACCAGGATCGCATTTTGATCCCAGTTATATTTTCTTTCTCTATTCAGGAAGAATCCATCCTAGATCAAAATGCAACCTCCTCTCCCTCTTTCGAACGCCCAGAACGCACAGTGGGGAGAAATGGAGGAGTTCCTCATTGCAGATTGCGGCGATACAAAATCCATTATTAACCCATTGACGACCATGCAGTCCACATGTGGACTGCAGTTGTATTTTTTGTTTTATTCGTCTAATTTGCAACTTTCTTTCAATTCTTCTTCTCAAAACATTACATCAGGCCTAAATGAAACTACATACAGCGTGGTCCTAGAAAATCT